AATGGGGTTTAGCCCCGAGGTTTTGAGTCATTTCGGGTTCTCAAAAAAGCCTACAGACCGTCGGGGGATCGCCCAAGGCCAAACTTCCGGCGCTGCAAGGGCGCCCTCGTGCCAAGCGCCAGGCCTCCTTTTGTTCGGCACGCGGTCGTCGCCAAACTGGCCACCCACAGACCGCCAGTCTCCCCGCAATGAGCGGCGGTCTGGTGGTGGCCGGCTGGGACGACCATTTGGTGGTCAGGGTGCCCCCGTGGTGTAGAGAAATGAAGATGAAGATGATTGAAGTTAAAATCTACTTAAAGAGAGTTTTTTTTTTTTTTTTTTTGCATTGCTTAAAGTGTTGTTAGAGCCGCTAGGCTATCAAACACTATATTATATGTCCAGCACCTGTAAAACCCCTCTGGCTGTGTCAGGGGAAAGGGTTGCTGTTGGCTGTTTCATCTAGTTTACATATTTGGGTGTTTACATTATAAGGCGCTAAAGGATGGAAGATGAGAATTTAATCTCGTGGGTGTTGCCTATTTGTAGGCGGTTTTTCTTCTGAGATTGCAGCCCAGCACCAGCGACTTTTCAGTCTCCATGTGCTATCGCAGTAATGCGCGATGGCTTTGAATGCTAACGGTTTGTTGAGGATTGAGGTGTCAAATTTGAGGTCGAGTTTCTTGAGGTCCTCTTCGAATTTTTGTCGTTCTGTTTTGAACTTGATGCATGTGAATAGGTAATGTTCTACTGTCTCGATGCCTTCTTGGCATTCACAGCTCGGGTTGTGGATCTGTCCAAACTTGTTCAGGTATTGGTTTAAGGGGATATGAGCTGACCTTAGTTGTGTGATGACACCGATTTGGTGTTTCTTGAGTTCTGATAGGTATTTGAGATGTGCTTTTTGTTGCGGTTTATGTCCTAATCTTTTGAGGTCTTTTGGGTCTTTGATTTCAGAGTTAGTTGATCGCCATTCTTTGATGGCTGTGATGAAGCTTGCGGAAGTGGGTTTTGCTTGAAAGGTGCTGGGTAGCTTTGTGTTTGCTTTCTTATTTGCTATTTTATCGACGATTTCGTTTCCTTTCACCCCTACGTGGCCTGGGCACCATCGGATCGTGATCCGCATGTTTGGAAAGGTCCTGTGTAAATAAGTCATTAGCTTGTAGGTTTCTTTTCTGTCATCTAGTGTCGTTATCGGTAATTTGTTGGATCTTAAATCCTTGATAACACTTTGGTTATCTAACAGGATAGTTGTTCGTCTTGTGTGGATCGATGCTGTGCGTAGCGCCATGGTTAGCCCCATTTGGACTCCGCGGTACTCGGCTTGGTAGATGCCGTGCATTCTGGCAACACCTAGATGTTCGGAAATTGATTTGTTAGTGTTTTTACACCATGCCGCTGCGGCAGTGGTGCACGTTGGAATCCTGGAACCATTGGTGAAAATAACTACATGTTCCAACGTAGCTGTGAGTTTATTAGCCTCTGCTTTTGCTATGTTTTCGTTTTCTTGGATGATGGTTGTATAGTTGGTTGGCCTCGTGAGGATATCGGTTGGATCGAGAGGGATTTGAAGAATGAATTCAGCCAGTTCTTCGCTGACTGGATGTTGGAAGAATCTGTGAAAGGGATTGTGGTGACATTTTGGCTTGGAGTTCTGTGCTTGTTTGACGAAACTGTAGATGGGGGAGTGCTGAGGTTTTGTTAGTGCTGTGGCCATAAAGTTCATAATTTTACTTTGGAGTCTGGTTTTTGGTGGGATGAGTTTAGAGTTGTGCATAAGGAAAACTCCCGGAGTTGATGACAAAGCTCCTAGTGCCGCTCTAGCGCAAATGTTGTCGATGATGGTAAGGTCCTTGACGAAGTACTGTGGTGGTTCGAAAGGTAGCCACGCGGCTACTCCATAATCGAGCGCTGTGTGAACTGTTGTCGTTATCAATGTGTTCATTAGCTTGGGTGATATTCCCCACTCCGCTTTGGATAGCGTGGCTAGGAATCCCGCTCGTTGGCGGCCTTTTGCTAAGACCTCTTTCCTGTGCTGAGAGAAAGTTAGTTTACTGTCAATGGTTATTCCTAACCATTTTGCTTTCTCCTCTGGCATGATCTTTTTCCGGTCAACAAAGTTTATCGTTGGTGGATCTATTGTGTCTTTGGGATTGAAGATAACCCAAAACGTTTTCTTGACGTCGAATATCGCCCCGTGGTCCATGGCCCAGTTGTTTTGGCGATATGCTAGAGTTTGCATCTGAGATCGTAGTCTGTGTTTATCTGATGCTGTGGTGAGGAGAACGACATCATCAATAAAACCTAAGGCTGTTGCATTTTCTATGCTGTCTGTGATTTCCAGTAACCCGTTATTATAGAGGAGATATAGGAGCGGTGACATTGGGGAACCTTGGGGGAGCCCATGAGTCAGTTCAAAAGGATCAGATTCGAATCCATTAAATGAAAGTGTTGTTGATCGGTTATCCAGAAAGTTGTGGATTAGGTTGATAGTTTGATTATGAAAACCTTTCTTCTCAAGTATTGATAGGAGTCGGGGATGGTGAACAGAAGGAAACGCCGATTTTACATCAGCAAAAAGCGCTCCCACCACATTACCTTTGGTCCACTCTGTTCGTGTCTAGGAGACTAAGTGTGTCAGCGCCTCGTGTCCTGACTTATTTGGTCTTCCTCCATAGTCTCCCTCGTGGAGTATACGCTTGTTTTCTACCTGCGCTGAGAGATGTTTGGTTAGGAGCTTTTCGTAAATCTTACTTAGAGTGAGTAACAGCGCTATTGGCCTATAGGCCGAGGCTGCCGTGTAGTCTGGGTTTCCCGGTTTGGGAATCATGATTGTTCTGGCTTGCTTCCAGTCGTGCGGTATGAGTCCTGATTCCGTGATCTGTAGGAAGAGTGATCTGACATGAGCTTTCACCTGTTGCCACACTTTGCTCCAAACCCAGTTTTGGAGCATGTCCGCTCCAGGCGCTTTGAGTGGTGGCACACTGGTAACCACTGATTTGATGTTTTCTTCTGTGAGATAATTGAAGAAGTCTGGCATTGTTTGTTCTGAAGGTCGTGTGTCTGAGGTTATTGGAAAAGTGAGAACTGCTGAATCTTCAATTCGACACGGTGCTGTTGCTACGCATGTTGTTTTAAAGAGGAGTTTAGCTTTTTCTTTGTTGGTGGAACATACATTACCTGTGGATGAGATCAATGTGTTGACTAATGAAGATGGTTTTCTGCCGGATGCAAATCTTTTTGCTTGAAACAGAGTATTGTGAGTCAGTGTTGATAAGTATATCTTCCAGTTATTCTCTTTCATTTTATCTATCTTCTTGTTAAACAAGTTTCTCGCTTTCTTGTAATTCAGCTTATTCTCGTCTGATTTGTTGTTCTTGAATATTTGGTGGAGGCGTTGAGCTTCTTTCCGAAGCGGATCGAGCACCTCAGGGATCCACCAGTGTTTGTGCTTACCTGGGGATGCTTTATTTGGTGAGTTGTTGTTGAGCGCCTCGATGATGGTCTGGCGTAGGGTCCTGTCGAACTCGTCAATGTCTTCTTGTGTGTTCAGTCGTTTTACCTTTGGAAGTGTTGCCCTGAGTTCTATAAGTAAAGCCGGGGTGTCCACTTTGTTCCAATTCTTTCGTTTTGGTGTGTCGTGAGGTGGCGTGTCTTGAGTTCTCGTGGAGAAGGTCGTGATGATTGATCGGTGGTCAGAAAAGTGGTTCGTGATGTCATCTTCGTCAATAAGACATGCTCGGATGACATCGTCTAGCTGTTCATTTACCCACACCAGATCGATAGTGGTGCCTTTTGTGGTAGTTGAGCTGAGGCCAAATGTTGGTTGTCCTGCAGGTGATCGTAGTCTCAAATCCCATTTAGACATGAGTTCTATCAGATTGTCGGCAGCTTTTTCGGAGATGTTGCTGTGTAGCGGGTTCCACGCTGGAGAGTGTAAATTAGCGTCAGTGACCACGATGGTTGGTAAAAGTACAAGTGGGAGTGGTAATTTGGTCATTAGCTCGTCCCACGCCTCAAATCCTGAAAAGGATTTGGGCGCGTTGTATACATTTGTTATAAGGAGTGAGAAATTATTGATTTTGATTGTACATGCGGCTATGTCGCGCGAGGTTGAGGTGATTGGGTTCAGAGCCGCTTGGAGGTCCTTTCGGATGTAGAGACATGCCCTAGGGCGTGACTCTTCATTTTTCGCGACCGGTGTTGGGCTAATTAGAATCCAGTTGGTCTGGTTTGGGGGTAGGAAGTCTATTCTGTTGATGTGAGGTTCTTGGAGGGCTATGATAGAGAAATTGTTAGTAAGGTCATGGTTAAAAAGAGAGTGCATTACGTGTTGTGATCGGTGGCAGTTCAGTTGTAAGATTGCCGATGTTTCTTGTGATGTTATAAGTTCGTGAAGGCGTTGTTCTATCATTGAGATATGTTCATGTCTTCGCTCGGTAGGATGATGATTTTTGGAGAGCTGCTTGGGTTGTAAGGCCCGGCGCTTGCTGCAATCCGTGTTGGGCATGTTGGGCTGAAGGGGTGGTGAATTATGTCCACCGGATTTGAGGCAAAGAATGTTTTCAAGTTAGTCAACGGCTCGAGTTGTACTTTCTTTCTTGCGCAGGCTGTACATTTCATCTCTGTCTTTTCTTTCTGTGGGCAGCTGTGTGAGTGATGCTTATCACCACAAAAAGGGCAGAGTGGGTCAACTGGACACGATGGCGCTGTGTGGCCTGGTTTTTGGCAGTTATAACATCTCTGTGGTGGGGGGCCGCTCCTAAAAGTGAGGTGTTTACCTCTACCATGCCAAATCTTGTTGGCTACACATTTTTGGGCTTGTTCCTCACTTTTTAGACCAATCAGAATTGATGAATGGCGCTTATTGGGGTCTTCGATGGCTTTTGGATTGAGCCATCGAACAAATAACATGTCTTTGAGAAGATCTGCATTACATGCTTGGAGCTCTTCACAATGGTCTGTTATATTGGGATCAAAGGTTGTGGATATACCGTTTACAATGATTTCATAGCGGGCTTCTTTCAAAGATAATGTTTTAGAGAAACCTTGTAACCAAGTACGCGGTAGAGCTCTGACTTTAGCTGCGTGTGCTGCGGTTTCGAAATATAAATCGATATCATGTGAAGGATGGCGTCTTACGCTCTTGATTTCAATTGTTGACTCGTCTTCAGGTTTCATTTTGATTTGATAAGCTCTGAAAGTTGTGTTTAACTCGTGGATCAGCTTTGCATTTGAAAGAGTCGGGTGTGTTATGTTAGCACCTGGTTCATGTACCAGAGTGATAGCGTTTGTTGATTTGGCTTTTGGGGTCTGCCTCTGAGACTGCGTCTTCGCTTGTGGCGTTGATTTGCCCGCGGTGGTGTGTCCGTTATTAGATGGAGCATGTTTTGATGCCGCTAGTGCATATGATTGGGTTGGAGGACCCTTCTTTTGTTGTTGTGCCGTTTGTTTAGCTGTCAATGTTGCTTGAAGCGATAGGATCTCAAGGATCGCATCCAGCTTGTCTTCAGTCTCTTTTCCTTTGAATATGATGGAGCGACTTTTTTGGTTTGGTCCCATCAGGGCCGCTGGGGTAGTGAAATTTCGACGAGCGTCTTCGTACATCACTTGATCGTACACAGCACCCGTTAGGACCAGAATGTCCGCGGCCGTTTCAACATCGACTGTGATCTTCTTTGTAGTTTTCGCTTTGTTGGCTAATGGAAAACCTGCTTTAACAACCTCCAGGAGCTTGCTGACTATCTCCTTGAGAGATTTGGATTCAGAAGTTCCTGGGCAGAGATGGGAGATTCGATTCGATCTAGGAGTGCCTGTAAGCTCCGTAGCCTGGTTTTCGGCGGTCACACCGGCCGAGTCCAACCTGGATCTCTTCTTGGAGAAGTTGCCCAGGTCAGAGACCAGAATCGACGGGGATTGGGTGAGCCCTTGACTGAGGCTCTCTTTATCGAAGGTGAGGGGGGTAGAGGGGTTGTTCGTTCTGATCGCTTCCTGGGGCCCGACTGGATTTATAAACGCGTTGGACGCGTCGCGAGTTGGAGTTTGAACCCTTTGGGTGTCATGCTCCTTCTGGCCCGTATCCGGCGCGTTCTCGACTTCCATGTCGACCAGTATCGCGTGGAAAGGTGAATCGGATGAGGCGAAAAAAGTAAGGATAATGGAAAATTGAAATTTGGACGAGTACTTGCGCAGTCACGGACCGGGTCACGTGACTAGTTAGTAATTCGTGGTAAGAGACAACTTTCTTCAGAGAGTTAATATACAGTGAGTGACCAATAAAAGAAAGTTGAGATTGAATTTCAAACTTGATCCAATCCCATTCCCATTCCAGCTTGTCAATTCTTCAATTCCTCAAATCGAAACAATGTCAATTCACTCTTCAAACAGAAAATCAAACTTATCATCAACAAGACCAATCCTATCAGATTCTAATTCTAGTACATCAGATCAAGAACATATCATCCATCGTTTAGAAGAAGATCATCAATTTGGTGGAACTCATTGGTTACCATTATTATTTGCTTTGATTCCAAGTTTAGGTTCTTTGATTCATGGTGATTCTGAATCTTGGACTGATACTTTACTACTCATCTTAATCGGTTTCATACTATATAAACTTACAAAAGGTATTTATTACTCTTCTCTTGACTTTTTCACACAAAACTATACTAACTTGCTCAATCGATTGATTTAACATAGTTCCATGGCAAATCTATGCTTCATCTCGTACTACTCGAATCCTTCATCAAATCAAATCAGATTCAAATCATCTTTCATCCAATCCGATTCTTCATCCTAAAGCTGATCTCTTAGGTTATACTACTGAACTTCAAAAATATGAATTAATCTCTTTATTCATGGCTATCATCTCACCTAGTTTAGGTATCTTATTATTAAACATCATTCAATCTAAACTCAAGACTTCCATCACATTAGATTATTTAAATTCAAACACGATCATCTTATTCTTATTATCTTCATTGATCAAACCGATGGGACATTTGATTGGATTGTTAATGAATCGAACTGATTATTTACAAACCAAATTACATTTTCCAACAGATTTGATGATCGAATTAAAAAAGATTTCAGGAGAATTAAAAGATCAATTGAACCGATTAGAATCTAATTCGATATCAAGTTATGAATTATCACTTTTGAAAACTAATTATTTAGAAAACCCAATTGAAAAACTCACCAAAACTCTTTCACATCAATTAGATGCCGATCAGATTCGTAAAACTCAAATCACCCAAGAATGTCATGAGTTGGCTAAGACGTTAAACCGATTAGAAAGTCAATTGATGAAGACTAAAGTGGATTTGAATTCATTGGTTTTAGAACAAGATCAAATTAAATCCAATCCGATTCATACGATTGCTCAGATGATCATTCAATTAATGACCACTGTTTCTCAAGCCGAACCTCTGGAAGCGAAAGTCGAGAATCGGTTCGAGAATCTGGATGAGAGTGATGAATCTGATCATGATAGTGATCAAACTAAAGTGAATCCAAAGAAAATGAATAATATAAAACATGATGAGAACCCACCAACGGATTACAAAACGCGTGAAGCTGAAGTCGAATTTATTCCTACGCCGCTCCGATCCAACGTTCGAGTTTCTCCCCCAAAACCGAGCATCAAACTTCGTCAATGGATCTTGTACTATCTAACGATTCCGATCTTAGTATGGATTAAGTTGATGAAAACCATGATCTTGTTTCCGATCGAATTGATTTCGAATATCACCAAAGGAGAAGAATATCAAAGGTTATCTGAACGAAACTATCAACTTGATCGAGCCGCTTATGCTAATCATCCCAATCGTCCTACTTGGTTTGAAGCTCCTTCTATTCATCAAACTCTTTCTCCTTTGAATGAGTTGGGTTCGACGTTTAAGTCTCAGTTTAATTTCAGTCATCTTCATTCCAATCGTCCTCATCCTAGGGATTCGAATCATACTAATCATACTAATCATACTAATCATCGTGGGAATCATCTTGATGAGATTAAAGAAGTGATGAAGAAGATCAT